CCCATTTCTGAAGAAGGGTCTAGGCCCGAAATGTCAGCTTTCCTGCTCCTCTGATGCTGCTTGGCCTGCTGTGTTCATCCAGCTCTACACCTTGTTATCTCAGTAATCTATTCAATGCCTTTTGCATTTTCGTCATTTTGGTTGACAACATTCTTTGCATAAAACTGAGAGTACATGATTTATAAAGTAAAATTGAATGGATGTAAGGGTAGAAATAACAAATAAATGAAAATATGAATTACGTTTCTTTAACATGTATGGGAAGCGAAAATCAAAGACACTTCAATCACAATACACAGTGTCTCTGAACAAAAGAGCAATCCTGTCATTTCAAGCCTGAGCTGAAATTGTTTTGAAACAAAACCCATTGGAACAGAATACATTGCTTGATTGTTATGCACAGTCAATGCATAATACACAGAATGCCCTTAGTTCTACTCCAGGCTAGAGCTGACAATGAGATAATCAACATCTCCTTTTCCCTGAAATATGAAACCTCTATGGTAACAAGGGGGGTGGGGGGTCGGTGTGCTGCAGCACTGTACATAGCCAACCTGGAGACTAACTGGAGTTGGTCATCACCAAGGGGCGTAGTGTGCATGATGTGAAAAGGGAACAGTGGGTGGAGTTACTTGCACTGTATATTGAAACACTCAGGATCATCTGGCAACTTTTGCACATAGGAGACCCTGGAACAAAGAGGATGGTTGTTGCAGAATGTTGAGATTCACCCAGTTACGATGCCAGGTTTTTTCAAACCCAATAAACAGTTAAAGAGGAAAGTCCACCCAGTGCCCTCGGGTAAGTGGTTCTTGAGATGTTCTTAGCTCATTTTAGTCTAACAATGTTTTGTTCTAATTTATTGTACGGAACATAACACCACTTCAGCGATATCAGTTGGAACCAATCTAAAACCGGGGGTTCAGTCTCAGAACGAAGGGTCAACCATTTATGACTCAGATGTGAAGAAAGTTCTTCACTCTTAAGAGGTTGTGAATCTTTGGAATTTGGAGCTGTTGGTTGCTCATTGGCCAATTTCAAGATAGCTTCCATTGGATTTTGGGCACTAAAGATGTTGGGAATAATGGAGAATAATTGAGAATAAGGGATGTTCGTATAGTGTAGGAGGATGTAGTTGTGGGAGATTAGTCGTCATTATTGAAGGCTCGAGGAACTGAATTGCCAATTCCTATCTAACACTCCAGCCTGTTACCTTTTTCTGCTCAGAAGTTGTATCATTTGCGCAGATCTGAATCAGGAATCAGAAATAGAAATGACAGCAATTACATTTTTGCTACTACCAGTTCCTTTCCCAATCTAGAGAATTGTAAAACTGGGGGCTTTCCCTCCTGGCTTCATTCTACTTGTTTATGATGTGTGAGATTTTCAAGTGCAAAAGTTTTCTTTTCATTATTTATTCCTTCATGGGATCAGGCATCTCTGGGTGGGCCAGCATTTATTGCCCGTCCCTAGTTGCCCTTGAGAAGGTGGTGGTCAGCTGCCTTCTTGAACTGCTGAGATAACAAGTTGTAGAGCTGGAGGAACACAACAGGCCAAGCAGCATCAGAGGAGCAGGAAAGCTGACGTTTCGAGCCTAGACCCTTCTTCAGAAACTGCTGCAGTCCATGTGCTGTAGTTAGACCCACAATGGTGTGAGGGAGGGATTGCAAGAATTTTGACCCAGCGACACTGAAGAATTGGCAATATCTTTCTGCTTTAGTCTAGCCATGCTAGAAACAAAACTCATACTGTACATATTAGCAGGTTCTTCCACAGTACTAATGGTGGGATTTGCTGTTTTATGTGGTTTACTTCATAAGGTAATTCCCCCCTCCCCTCAGGCTACTGGTAGTTATACCTGACATTCTGGTTAGTCTCCAGGGATCTTGTTCATGGTTAGTTGGAGGCTGTAGTGTCTTTTCTGAGTGTGTTTGTTGTAAAATGCCCATAGGAAGTTGCAGCTCCATCTCCAAAGAAGGTAAATAGAACAGGTCTTCTTGCTACAAAAACAGAAATTGCTGGAAAAGCTCAGCAGGTCTGGCAGCATCTGTGGAGAGAAATCAGAGTTAACATTTCAGGTCAAGTCACCCTTCCTGAACTGTTCTTAGCTTTCCCAGCAATTTCTATTTTTGTTTCTGAATTACAGTATCTGCAGTCCTTCAGGTTTTTATTTAGGTCTTCCTGCTATATTGGTATCACTAACACCACCTAATGGAGGATGTAAGAATAGCAGGTGTGACTACATAAACACAAAGGTAAAAATTATAAAGCAGTCTGTGTTTATCTTACACACCCTGCTTTCTATGTGTCAATAACAGAAATATCTTATAACTACCGCTGACTGAATGAAAATTTCAGCACTGTTCATTTCCTCTCATTGACTCAAAGATTTTAGAAGTCAATCAAAAGGCATTTTACCAACACTGATGTACTTCACCATCTCTCTGTGTGTTTATTTCAAATGCCTACCACATCCCCTGACTCTTAGCATGCTGTGCCGTGGCGCTGTGTCTACCAGCATTCTTTAAAGCTGCTGTGACTGGGAGCAATGCCAAAGGAGGTTCACCACTACTCAACGTGAGCACAGTGCCACAGCCAATCAGCCAGAACATTATCTGATTTCACTGAGTAATGCCACTGGAGGTCGAACAATGTTTAGAGTGAATTACTCCGATTCGTGAGCAGTGCCAAGAGATGTCAGCTAGTATTCAGAGTTTAACTCACAGTGAGCAATGCCACAGGACTTTTGCTAGTACTACAATGAAATGTTTCTTGTAAATCATTGCCTTTTAGTGGCTTCTGTGAGAACAATCCCTTTCCAAATTGGAATGGAAGCTGTGTGGGACACACGGTTCTAAATAATACTGATACCTGCAGGATACATTGTACTGATACCAACAGAGAATATTACAAGAATAATGGACAGGATGATAGGGCTGAAAATTTAATCAATCAAGAGATGTACTTGCTTGTATGTTAATATCTACCAATGTCCTGGCTTAAGATTTAACAAAGATCGATGTAGGTTTAATGCACTTTAGTGAAACTGCTCAGGGAACGTAATTATAAACTGCGGAAGTTACAAGTCAAATTTAGTTAGAGGAGTGATTTCACATTTAATGTTGTGCCTTTGCGAACAACGGATATCCAGAGATTTGAGCATTTAATCCAGCCTGATACTCAAGTGCACCGTTGAGGGAATGCTGCACTGCCGATGGTGTAGTCTTGCTGATGAGATCACAATGTGAGGTCCTGTCAATGCAAAAAACTCCCACAGCTCCAAATCAAAGAAAGCAGTCTTTCCTAGAGTCTGGCCAACATCTAATCCTCATTCAAAGTCAGGTAAATGCGTTATCGCTTTGTGACTTGTGGGTGCTTGGCTGTCTACAAATGGGCTGCTGCGATTCTACAAAGCAAGTACTTCATTGGCTGTACCATGCTTTAAGATGCCTTAAAGCTGTGAAAGGCACAATAGAAATACAGGTCTATCTCCTTTTTCCCTGAACAGCTTCCCAATCTAGACCCACCGTGGGACAGTGAGCAGCACCTGTAGTCTCTGAAGCTGGAAGTTTATTTTAATTCATTCATGTAATGTTGGTGTCACTGGCTGGGCCAACATTTATTACCCATTCCCAGTTTTCCTTGAGAAGGTGGTGATGAGCTGCAGCCCCTGTGCTGTAGGTAGACCCACAATGCCTTTAGGGAGGAAATTCCAGCATTATGACCCAGCGACACTGAAGGAACAGAGTTATATCTCCAAGTCAGGATGGTGAGTGGCTTGGAGCTGTGCTACCAGAACAGGAGTGTACGGTGTAGGCTGTGAAGTGTTGGCTTCTGAATGAAACTAAGGCTGGCGTGGCAGTATTTAAAGAGAAGTAAGGGAATCTCGCTTATGTCCTGTTTAGTGTTTCTCTCCATTGTTCTACCTTGTACAGAAATTGCTGGCTCCTTTCGCTGTTGCATTTTCGTGATGACAGTGACTACATTCTTTCTTAAAAAGCAACATTTTCCTATCAGATTCCTCGGGCCTTTGTGAAAGCTTGTTCCTTCTGTGAAGTGTCTTGGCATGATAGAATGATGCAGCACAGAAAGAGGCTATTTGGCCCATTGTATCTGTGCTGGTGACTGGCAATAATCTCTGTACGCTGCTCTTTCCCCATGGAATGCTGCGTTGTCATAGGTGCTACTTTTCATGTGAGGCATTAAACTCCATCTGCCCTTTCAGATGGATGTAAACATGGCATTATTTTGCAGAAGAACAAGGGTGGTCTCCCTAAAGCCCTGTCCAGATTTATCCCTTAATCAACATCACACGAAAAACCAGGCTATCTAGTTTTCACATTCCTGTTTGTGAGAGTGCACTGTGTGCAAATTGATGACTGTGTTCTGTACATTAAAACAGCAGAGATGAAAAAAATAGTCTAGGGAGAGATATGCTGAGTTTCTCTGGCACTTTCTATATTTATTTCAGATCTCCAGCATCTGCTGTATTTTGTTTTTATTTCCAGCATTTTGAGATATCTGATGGTTGTGAAAGAATGGATCCCTCCCTATTGCCTTTTTTGTTTCCTTTCCTTCATTGATTTATTGCCCAATTGTTTTTTTCCATTCAAGTACTTATAAATTTCCCCTTTGAAAACTCCAGATACAGCACCCTTTTTGACAGCCCATTCCAGGTCTCATCAATTTCTAAAAGAAACTTTCCTCAGGATGCCTTCTGTTCTTTTACCAATCACCGTAAATCTGTGTTTTCTATTGATTAATCCCTCTGCCATGGATGTAGTTTTTCTCTGTTTACTCAACCAAAATCCTTCAAGATTTTCAACAGCCTGAGTGATCCTCTCTTTTATCTTCTCTGCTCGTCAGGAGAATAATCCCAGGTTCTCTAGTAATAAAAGCAGAAAGAACTGGAAATACTGAACTGATCTTGTAACATTTCAAATAGAGTCACATTTGACCCAAGACGTGACATCTGTTTCTGTCTCCACAGAAGCTGCCAGACCTGCTGAGTTTCACCAGCACTTTCTACTTTTACTTAAGAGTTCCAACATCTGCAGTATTTTTCTTTTAACCTGTCTGGTCTCTCCACGTAACTCAAACCACCTGGAAACATTCTATTAGGTTTCCTCTGAACTTCCACCAAGATCTTGACATCCTTAATAAATTGTGGTGGCTTGGAGGGGAAGTGGAGGTGATGGCCTGTTGGTATTATTGTCAGACTATTAATCAGATACCCCGGTAATGTTCTGGGAACCTGAGTTTAAAAACTACCATGGTAGATGGAAGAGTTTGAATTCAATGAGGAAAAATTTGATTAAGTTTTTTTGAGTAAGGTACCAAAAAGGTTGATGAGGGCAAAGCAGTAGATGTTGTTTATTTGGATTTTAGGAAAGCCTTTGACAAGGTTTCGCGTGGTAGACTAATTAGTAAAGTTAGGTCACATGAGATTCAGGGTGAGCTTGATAATTGGATACCAAACTGGTTTAACGGCAGGAGACCGAGAGTAATGGTGGAGGGTTGCTTTTCAGACTGGAGGCCTGTGACCAGCGGTGTTCCACAGGGATCGGTTCTGGGTCCACTTTTGTCTGTCATTTATATAAATGATTTAGATGAGAATATTAAAGGCATGGTTAGTAAGTTTGCAGATGACACTAAAATTAGTGGCTTAGTAGACAGTGAAGAAGGTCTGCTAACATTACAAAGGGATCTTGATCAAATGGGTCAATGGGCTGAAAAATGGCAAATGGAGTTTAATCTGGATAAATGCGATGTATTGCATTTTGGTACAACAAACAAGGGTA